TTGCTGCATAGTCTCATAGGAAGTCTAAAATATTTTACCACTTTGGATTGATCCATAATATGCTTTTAATGAGTTAACTATGTCATCCTCTTTTGCTTTTGTCCAGGATGATCTTTTTTGGTTTTGTCTAGCTTGTTGGTCCAACTCTATTTAAATCTAGAGTAAAAATTTTGATATAGTTACTATAGAAAAAGTGTTAATTTATTTATTAAAATTTTATAACATATATACAAATTGATATGTATCTGTTGGTTCAATCATTAAATTTTTTGTTTTAATACAAGGAATATATTTCGTTTATTTTAATATATAACTATTGGTTCAAATAAATGCAAATTTAAAATCTAATTTAGGATATAGAGAATATATTTTTATTTATTTTAATATCATTAGAGACTGAGGTGTGAGCTGAGAGTGGGTGTAAGACTAAAAGTGGAACTTAGAGAGAGAGAATGTGTAAAATGCTAAGAACTTAAGTTAGGGTAAACAAAAATATAAATTAAGAAGAAAATACTGTTGGTAGGTTTAAAAGGACCAGCCTCGGCCCTACAGGCTGGTCCTTTTAAGTCTAAATTTTTCTTGAATACCCCAAATTACAAGCCTCGTCCTCAACTTAAATGGGTTTAAACCCTCAACTTAAACAAGTTTAAATGGATCAGCCTGATGAGTTCAATGCGTTTTTCGGGCTCTACTCTTGATCTTTCCACCTTGATCGTACAATGTAAAAGAAATGGAAAATCATCCTGTGGTCTCATAAAAGAACTATAATTATAAAAAAAATCCTAGCATAGATAAGTAAATCACAAAGTTTCGTTGTATTATAGAAAATGACAACATACTCATAATACTCACTTGTTATTAAAATTTTTTATAATTAAAACTCATATTGATTGGTTGGATGATAATATCCAAAAAAAAAAGGAAAAAAAAAACTCAGACCGTTAGTTTACCTAGTAAGTTGCTTGCTCTTTATCACCACAAGTACACCTACTGAGCTACAAACATATAAAACTTGAGTCGTCCCCAGCGCTTCATTACTCACCATGACATAAATGCTAACCTCCAACTCCTCCTTCTGTTTTCCTAACCATTCTCCTTATTTTCTTGCTTAACATCATCATCGTCAACGTCAAATCAGATTCATTCTCTTCCACTTTTCCCAGATTCGAGCAAGGTGTGCTGAAAACATAGTTTGCCCTCGCGATATAATATGCCACCATACAGCGCGGGCCTAAAAGGATTCTTCAGAGTAGTTCGCCTTTACAATGACAAAACAACGGAAACTTCCCTGAAACGGCTTGATCTTCTTCCTCAAACGAGAAGGTTACTCAGCCGGTGTCAGAGTCGCCGCATAGCGGAATCGACCTGGCTAGGATCTATAAGGTCGGGGGCTACCACGAGTTGGCCAAGTGGAGCGGAAGCCGGTGAAGAAATTGTGAGGGCTAACACTAGGCGTCCGGGGAATATGGGAACTGTTTTGAAGTCTAAGATCAATTTGATGGAAGCCCTGCGCCGGCGAAGGTCTTAATAACTGGTTTCTCTGCCGCCACCGGGACTTGGTGGAAACACATATATGGCCTTCTTTCTTGGGATTACGACTCAACAACCTAAGATGAAGAACTACAGAAGCGCGAACAATATATATAATAAAGGGCATTCACGTTAGAGTAGAGCCCAATGTCGATATTCAATAATCACGAAATAGCGACGGTTTGATTTAAAGAAGTTCTCGTTTTCAATAATATATCTGCTGATGTAAATTAAGAAGAAATAATTAATTATTAATAAAAATAAATAAATGCACAAAAGGCACTAGACCTGGCATTACAAGAAAGGGCAAACTAATACCAATATAATGTATAATCCACTTTAATTTAACCTAATCAATCCCCAAACACTTGAACAGTACGACTGAATTTAGTTTATTTTGACCACCCTTCTACTATAACTCCCTAGCTTCTCATACTGGGAGCCAATTAATGACGATATGAATCAATAAAGGTCTGAGCTGAGGAAATCCCAAGAAAGAATTTTGTGAAGCTCAACCTCCTCACCGGTGGCGCCAGAGAACCCAACCCTAACCCATTCAGGCAGAACTGTCCTGAGATCAACGTAAGCTGAGAGCCTACTGCCACTCCGTTTCCCTTTGTTTTCGGGGTACCTCACATCAACACTTAACCTTTTCTGCGATGGATCATAGCTTATAGTGGCAATTCCTGTCAACCCTTTCTCCACATTCCAAGACGATGTTTTCACTGAGGCAATGGAGTTCACATCGATCCCGATATGAGCGGACCTTGTTGGGTCCCAAGGATTGCCGAAAGTGTCGAACTCCACAGCAACAATTCGATTAGCGTGGGAATTCAAAGCAGTGAGAGGACTGAAGAGTCCTAGGAACCCGCCACTCGAATTTGAGGGCAAGTAAGAATTGAAGGGGGCAACGAAGAAGGAGAACCCATCTCCCAAGACACCAGAAGAAGAGGAAGAAGGTGAGACAATGAAGGAGAAGGAAGTGGAGAAGGCGGCGAGCTTGCCGGTTTTGGCATCCCAGAGGCGAACCGGTTTTGAAAATGAGGCTCGGCCGGCACTGTTGGGTTGGGGTACGCCGCGGATGGTCCTTGTGAGACGGAGGCGGCCATGAGATGCAAAGGCATGGCCTTGGAAGGTTATGTCATTATCATGAGAGCGGAAAGAGCGGAATCTGAAGGAAAGTGAGTTCACAGTGTGAGACTGCAGAAAGAGGAAGGATATGATGAGGACTGTGAGAGCAGAGATGGAGCTCGGGATTGCCATTGTTGTGATTGAGAGATGAGGATATCGATATGTGTATATATAGATAGAGTTTCTGGCCAGCCATGAATATTAAACAAGGTACCACTTCATACGTAGAATATCACTCGCTCGTAAGGGTGATCAAAACAATGAAAATCTGACGTTTTTATTCGGCAAATTTTACAGTTTTTTTTTTCTTGGGCATCATTTTGTCAATATGTATACGCCAGGTTAAATGCTTATTATTCAGAAGCTGCTATACGATACAATAAAACACGGTCAAGAGAACAAGTTAAAAGTTAGCCTTTCCGCCGGAGCTTCACATAGAGGCGTGGCACTGTCCATTGGCTTATGTACTGTTACGTTAATTGATACGTTTAATATTATAACAACTATTCTACGATCTCTTCATCGTATCCATGGATGCATTCTCATATGATGGATTTCCAATAAAAGACGTTTGCTTAGATATATCTAGTTTAATTTTTCAAAATGTACGTCGATAATATATGTGTGTATGATGGCCATGTCAGATATCCATTTCTGTAGTTAACCTTCAATTTCTTAACGCACCTTTTGTTGCTAATATCCCCTAGAGTTAACAGTAGTGGGTGCAGCCTCTGTTAAGACTTTTTTGAGCATCAGATTGTGAGTTTAGACTCTCAATAAAAGTTATCTCATTTATAAAGCATGAGAGAAAAATTTTAGATGGTTTAAATTATGAGTTTCTTATCTAAAATGCATAATTATGTTCCCTGCAATAATACGTACTATGCTATATTAGTTTCATATTTTAAAATAAGATAGAAATTGTTCAACTTAATTGATTAAGGATATTTAATTTAATGGTGGCATTTTTCATCATTTATAATTTTTAGAAAATAATATTAATTTGTGACAAAAATTAGTTTAACTATTTTTTTTAATCTTAATGGGATAGGTAATGATGACTTATATGTGAAATCGGAGGGAGTGCTAAGTAAAAAAAATTCAATTTAAACATTTATATAAAATATAAACACTAATACTAAATTCTTAAAGATTCCATGATAATTATAAATTTATTAGCTACAATGTATTACCTTGGCTTTAATTATAAGACCTTTTTTGTAGTTTACAAATAAGGTCTTATAAATAGGATTGGAGGTAATATTAAGAAAGACAATATTAGTCAATCTATCAATGTTCAGTGTAAAACAAATCTCCTAAAGTATATTTTTTTATTCTTTAATTTTATATAAGTTTTACTTTCGTACCTTAATTTTAAAAAATAAATTTTATTCTGTTAACTCTAAAATTATTAACAAAAAATATGATATGAAGATTTTGAATCATTTTTAAATGTTAACATATTAAGTTTAATTCTTAAAACAATCATAATTGTTATAAAAAATATTATTTAAGACTGATAACTTTAGAATTAAAGGAATAAAAATTCACTTTTTAAAATTAATGTATTAAATTAAAACTTTGTATAAAGTTAAAAGATCAAATAATTCAAGCTCCAAACTCTATCCAATTTCTAGCCCAACCTAGCTACTTTGTTAAGAGAACACCCATATTCCCAATTAGCTCTTGAAATTGAGATTTGCAATAATTTCGATTTGAGAAAATATAATTTTAATTTTGTCTCTATAGATGGTTTCAGTTTTTTTTTAAACTTTAAAAAGTGTATTTTTAATTTTTTAACCTTAAAAATATTAACAAAAAATAGTAATATTAAGATGTTAAATATTGATAAAATATTTTCAAATGCTATTATATTAAATTTAATTTTTAAAATATTCATAATCATTATAAAAATATAATTTTTAAATAAATTTAACATTTTTATACCTTGGATTTAAACAACTCATATACATATCTTTTTGTCGTCTTTCATACAGAATAATTGGATCCAACTCAACAGTAGTTCTTAAATTGATACTCCTCCGGTCCTTAATATAAAACCCTTTTGGCTATTTTGATTAAATTAAGGATGGTAGTTAAGTTAGATAATAAATATAGATATTCCAAAATACCCTCGGTTTACACTTCTAAAAATATATAGGTGTATTATTAATGAATAATGAGTATTATTGTGGTATTTAATTATCTAATAGGGGTAATTTAGGAAAGAATGAAAAAATATGAGAAAGGGGTCCTATATTTAGGACCAAGATCAACCTTCTAATTGGGTCCTATATTAAAGACGAGGAGTACAACATTATCGAATGCATTCTCCTGCTTCAAAGTCGGGTGTTGGAAAAGGATGATTTAAATGACCAAAATAGAATGCCACTGGCTTCAACCAAATCACCAGTTGAACCCGAGAAACCAATTACGACCCGTTCGGGCAAAACACTCCTCAAGTCAATTCCATGCGAAATACAATCAGCATTAACATTATTACCGCCAGGATAACTCACCATCACCAATAATTCTTTCTCTGCAGAATCATATCTTACGCAACCCTTCACAATCGCTCCGTCTGGCTCGAAGTAATTACTCGGCCACCCCACCGTTGTCGCCGACGTAACTGAGTTCACGTTGATTCCTACATGAGGGAACTCAGTAAACGGATTTGGATCCCATTCGTTTGCGAAGCTATCAAACTCCACAGCCACAAATTCAGGAAGTTTGGAAGAAGACGAATTGTTACTATTATCTTCCATTGCAGGTTCTGGGTTATAAAGGCCGAGGAGTCCACCAGTAGAATTGTTAGGGATGGCAGAGTCGAGTGGAGCCATGAAAAATGCAAACCCGTCTCCGTGAAGGATTGAACCGCTCCGGTTCACGGAGAAGTAGAAGACAGAGGTGAAGTCCGCGAGATTCCCGGTGACGGAGTCCCAGATATGCCCCGGTTGGGAATATATAGACGAACCGGCCCACGGTGTGAGGGAGTGGATTCCCATATTCGTCTCTTCCAGTGAGGTGAATAGCGTCGCCAGATGAAGCGGCGTCGCCGGAAAAAACTACGTCTTGGCGGTTGAGACGGGAGGAGTATATGAAGGATACTGAATCTGACTGCGCACCGGTGATCTGTCGGAAATGGAAAATGACGAACATCGCGAGCAGAGTAAGTATAGGATGTTGGGTTGGCAAAACGGTCATGGCTGTTAAACTGGCTTAACACAGACAACGAAGACATTGGAAACTATAATAGAAGTTTAGGTTCTCACCAGCAGGCATCAGAAATTGACAAGATGTAGAATAAATTGATGATAGGCCAAGATGGCGAATTGCAGTGGTGAACGTATCAATTGAATCATCAGGGAATCAGTTTTTGTCTAATCGGAATAACTTAAATTCCCTATTGAGTGTACTCCTCTCCTTTCTATAAGAATCTGACATTTGAATTGTGTTGGTATTTTGATGTTGTGTGAACTTTTAATACGTTTTTATCATTTTTGTTCCTAATTAATTTTACATATTGTATTAATTAATTAAAAATTAAAGCTGACACCTTGGCATATTATATTCTCTTTCATATATTTTCTCTCTTGCTTGCCTTTTATAAATAAGGGTGTGCTTGCAAAAAAATTTATTTATTACATATTCATTGTTTTAAACTAATTTTAATTGTATTCTAAACTACGTAATTTAGTTATCAAGGCACTTATAAAAAGGACCTTAAAGAGTATTATTTTGTAAAGTATTACTAGGTTTTTTTAATAAGAGACAATTGTGGAGTGTGTCATATTCTTTTTTCACAAGAGACACTTAGAGATTGTCTTAAATTTTGTTTGTTAATTTCTCATTTTACTCATTCAATTACTCATTACTCATATTATTGTATTTAATTTTCACATATTTTCTCTCTCACACATTACTATCTTCCATATAAACGAGGGTATTTTTAATAAAAATGTTATATTTTTTTACACATTTATTTATTTATTTATTATCTTTAACTGATTTTAATCAACATTTTGAACAACCTAACTTGGTTGATTGTCTCGTATAAAAAGTAGCGGAGGGAGTATAAAATAACATTTTGCTTTCTTTTCTTTGGTGTGGATGTGTGTGCCCACACGACTAACTCTGAGGGATATGGGCATTATTCAATAAAAGGCCTACTGAGAAATCGAAGGTTACCTTTGGAAATATATAATCCTGTTATAAATAAATTTATAGATATTTGACATGGTCACACACACACACACACATTTTATCATTAGTTTGACATACATTTTGAAAAAACTAGCTCTGGTCAAGAAGAAAAAACTAGCTAGATCTAAGCAAACGTATTTTGTTGGAAATCCATCATGAAAATGCATGCAGGAGAGATCATAGAAGAGTTGTTACAATATTAAACGTCTCAATTAACATAACATAAGCCAGCGGACGGTGCCTTGTCTTTATGTGAAGCTCCGGCCAGGGGACTAACTTTTAACCTGTTCTGACTTGTCTCGTTGTATCGTACAAGCAGCTTCTGAATAATAAGCGTTTAGTATATTGACAAAATGACACCCGAGAGAGAGAGAGAGAGAGAGAGAGATACACTTTGCCGGAATATGGAAGTCAGATTTCCTTTGTTTAATATTCATGGCTGGCCAAAAACTCTATCTATATATACACATACATATCCATGTCCTTATCTCTCAATCACAACAATGGCGATCCCCAGATCCATCTCTGCTCTCGCATTCCTCATCATTTCCTTCCTCTTTCTGCAGTCTCACACCGTGAAATCGCTTTCCTTCAAATTCCGCTCTTTCTACTCTCATGATAATGCCATAACCGTCGAAGGCGATGCTTTTGCATCTCACGGCCGCCTCCGTCTCACAAAAACCAACCACGGCGTCCCCCAACCCAACAGTGCCGGCCGAGCCTCATTTTCAAAACCGGCTCGCCTCTGGGACGCCAAAACCGGCAAGCTCGCCGCCTTCTCCACTTCCTTCTCCTTCATTGTCTCACCTTCTTCCTCTTCTTCTGGTGTCTTGGGAGATGGGTTCTCCTTCTTCGTTGCCCCTTTCAATTCTTACTTGCCTTCAAATTCGAGCGGCGGATTCCTTGGACTCTTCAGTCCTCCCACTGCTCTGAATTCCCACGCTAATCGAATTGTTGCTGTGGAGTTCGACACTTTCGGCAATCCTTGGGACCCAACAAGATCCGGTCATATAGGGATCGATGTGAACTCCATTGCCTCAGTGAAAACATCGTCTTGGAATGTGGAGAAAGGGTTGACAGGAATTGCCACTATAAGCTATGATCCATCGCAGAAAAGGTTAAGTGTTGATGTAAGTTACCCTGAAAACAAAGGGAAACGGAGTAGCAGCAGGCTCTCAGCTTACGTTGATCTCAGGACAGTTCTGCCTGAATGGGTTAGGGTTGGGTTCTCTGGCGCCACCGGTGAGGAGGTTGAGCTTCACAAAATTCTTTCTTGGGATTTCATCAGCTCAGACCTTTATTGATTCGTATCGTCATTCATTGGCTCCCAGTATGAGGAGCCAGAGAGTTGTAGTAGAAGGGTGTTCAAAATAAACTAAACTCAGTCGCACTGTTCAAGTGTTTGGGGATTAATTAGTTTAAAGCGGATTATGCAGAGTCGTATTAGTGTGTGATTTCTTGTTATGCCAAGCCTAATGCCTCCGTGCATTCTTTAATTATTGTGTTATTAATTATTAATAATAGTTCGTTGAAAGTGGAATTTGATTTTGCTTTTGTCTTAGGCTGTTGATGAGACCTTTACTTCGCCCTGCTTTTATTAAAAAAAAAGAAAAATTAAAGCTTATGTTCAGAAGAAGTTCAAACTTTGTATTAAAAAAATAAACTATAATTGTACTCATTTTGATCGGCTCACCATCATTTACCAGTACATGTAGACGGTACATTTTCATATTTACTACATTTTTATAAAAATTTAAAACACATTAAATTCATGGTTTTCATTCAACACAAAATAAATATCATTAAAGCAAACATTTGAAAATACTAATTAAATTAAATTTCTTCTGCTGTCATTTATTTTTAACGGAAATGTACAATGTCATGTATATGAGATCCACAAGTCTCGCATATTTGTTTTATTCGCTTCGTAGACAAAGACATTTTCTTTTATGCGTGTGTGCGTGTGTGCGCGCGCGCGTGTGTGTGTGTGAATATGTAATGTTCACCCGTACGTGTGGGGTGATCCAACAAGCCGAACAAGCTGTAGCTGCGTATTGGGAGGCCTATGGGCTGAACAAAACTGAGAAGTGAATTGTACGAGTAGCATTTCACCATCTGTATGGGAAAGGCCCCCGGAGCAGTACTTAAAACATGGATGGTGCTTTCTGCAATGATACTAAAGAAGATGCCATTGGAATATGCCATATAGACACTAACAAGGTTCCTTGAAAGGGGCATTTGTGGAAAAAGTCTTACTGATGTTTGGATGGAGAGAAAATGAGAAAGGAAAGAGAATGACGAGAGGAAAATGGGGAGAAAAATGAGTTTTCATTGTTGGGATGAGAAGACAAAAGCGGAAGGAAAGAGGAGTGAAAGAAAAAAAGAGATGTAGGACCCACCTCATTTTCTTTTCAACTTCTCTCTCTACATGTAAAGAGAAAATGAGAAAAATAATTTACAATCCTTATATGTCCTCCCTCTCATACCAAGTTATGCAATTTTTTTCTTTTAAAATTTATTTATGACTACTGCATAATTCAGTAAAATCATCTCACTCTATAGTAACTAAGATTCCAAACCAACATATGAACTTTTTCCCCCCCACATTCAATGCAATACTGGGGAATTCACACTAATTGTACATGTACATACGCTGATACACACATATACTTCTCCATCTCTTTCAACTTTTCCTTCCTCATCCAAACCAAAAAAAAAAAAAAAATCTCATTTCTTTCTTCATTTTGGTCTAGGATTTTTTCCTTCCTCATTTACTTTCCATCCAAACAGGGGTAAATCACTTTCTGCCTTCATGACTGAAGTCTTGGCTCTCAAAAGAGCTCTAATGATTGCACAGGATTTGGGCATCTTGGAGGATATTCTGACTATGATGACATCAAGTGCTGGTTTCTCTATCTCTTGCATCATCGGAAGGGCAATCATGCAGCAGATCATCTTGCTACAAATTGTTAGTAAGGGAGTACTGTGCCCTGTTGGTTGAGTGAACACACTCTTAGGGTACATTTGGTACAAAGTATTATAAATAAGGAGTAAGGATTGTGATTGAAATTTAGAAAAATCATTAAAAAGTATTTAATATGAGTAATTTCTTATTACATGAAATTAGATAATACTATGTAAGCGGAATTGAGAAATATCACATCCCCTATAGTATTCTCCAATCTCACATATATGGATTCATTTAATCCCAAGCAATAAACAATCACTTATACTAATAACTCTTTTAATATATTTTTTTCAATCCTAATCCTAATTCTTCACTCTCATTTTTAATGCTGCGTACCAAATAGGATCTTGGTCCCTTTGTCCTCCATACTTTTGATATATACAAATTTATTAAGTTCTTTTTGCTAATAAAGTTTTATATTTGAAACCTTTTTTCCCCTTAGTTTTGTCAAAAAGAAACAGAGTAGGGCATTTATATGCTGTGAAATTATAGATATTCCTTATGATTCCTTTGACCTTTCCACCTGGGACATCGTACTTTGTATCGTTGAAAACAAAAAGAACCATCGTACTATGAAAGTTTCTTGTTTTGTTCTTCACCACCACCACACACCTGCGTGCATATAAATCTTCAGTTGTCCCTCACGCATTATAACTTACCAAGCAAACAAGTTCAGCCATGGCTGTCTTCAATTCCTCTGCTCTTCTGACCATGCTCTTTACCCTGTTGCTTAACATCATCATCAACGTCCAGTCAGAATCATTTTCTTTCACTTTCCCCAGATTCGACCAAAGTACTCGGAATATAGCTTTCGCTGGTGATGCCACCATTTCTGGCGGTGCAATACAGCTGACGAAAATGGACAACCTGAGCAACCCACTTCAACACAGTGTAGGCCTCGCAGCATTCTTCAGCGAAGTTCGCCTCTACGACAGAAACAATAGTGGCAGATTCCATTTCTCCACCGACTTCACCTTCGTCGTCCGACGACAAGTCTCCTCCGTGCTTCACGGCGATGGCATGACCTTCTTCCTCGGTTCAACCGACTTCGAATTTCCGCGCAGAAACTCCACTGGTGGATTCCTCGGCCTCTTCACCCCTCAAACTGCCTTCTCTCCGCCCGGTACGAACAAGATCGTGGCCGTCGAGTTCGATAGCTACGCCAACGAGTGGGACCCCCATCCGGTGTCGCAGTCGCCACATATCGGAATCAACCTGGGCTCTATAAGGTCCAAGGATACTGTGAGTTGGCCAAGTGATGAGGAACCTATTGGGCAGATTGCGAGGGCAATGATCAGCTATGATTCAGAGAGTTTAGAATTGAGGGCTTCGGTGAGCTATCCGGCGGGGAATACTGCTGCAACTATTTTGACGTCTGAAATTGATTTGACGGAAGTTCTGCCGGAGAAGGTTGTCGTTGGTTTCTCCGCCGCCACCGGGGACTTGGTGGAAACACACCAAGTTCTTTCTTGGGATTACAGTTCAACAACCTAATTAAGCAGCAGAAGAATCGCCAAGAATAAAATAATGCATACATATGTTGTTTGTTCAAGTCCGTTATTAGTATTCAATAATCACGAAATATGGTGACTGTGTGATTTAGATGATGGGAAGTTTGGACAAAAAATAAATGCCTCGTCCCACCAATATGGAGAAATTAACGACGCTCTGTTTTTTTTTAATAAGAATCTTGAATTGTTTTTTTTTTTAATAAAATCCAGCTTGTGATCGTCTAAACATTTAATGCATTTTTATTATTTTAATTAATTTTATACATGACATTAATTAAAAGTTTTACGATATTTTCTTTTATACTCTCTCTCCTACTTGCCTTTATACATAAGGGAATTTTTTTTAAAAAATTATTTCTCGCATATTTATTATTTTTAACTTTTTTTAAATCACTTAATTTAATTATCACGTTCTTATAAAAAGGATTTGAGGGAATATATTCGCATCGGCCTTTATATCTCTTAATTTAATTTAATTTTTCTGCAGTGCATAACGAAATAAAGGCTTGCCCAAGACTTCTCATAACTAACCCCACTTACATTTATTTCTTCATCACTAAACCATACTAACTGCCATCAATAACAACGTTTTAAGAAAACCAAATAAATAGACCTTGTGAGAATGAATCAAGTTGAGGGAGAGCTCAGGAAAGAGATTGAGTTTCATTGCTCATAAGCAACTAATCAGAACCATTTGATTTAATCAGGATGATCCAAATTTTTATTTTTATTCTTTTTAAAATAATTATTTAAATGGATATAAAAACTGAAATAAAAATAATATTTTAATTATCAGTTTTTCAAAAAAAAAAATTTGGTCCTGTTTCACCCTGCTTTTATGAAGAAAAAAAAAATTAAGGCTTATTTTTAGAAGTTGTTCAAACTTATTAAAAAATAAACTATGATTGTACTCATTTTTATCGACTCACAAATATACTAATAAATGTAAACATTTTCATATTTACTACATTTTAATAAAGATCTAAGCCATATTAAGCTCATGGCTTTCAACACAAAATAATATCCTTAAAATTTATTGATTTAATTTCGTCAATCACCAGGGACGGACTTTCTAATCTTTGGAATCCTGACTCTCAGTCTTATATAAGTTAAACGACTAAAAATTGGATGTCGTTGCACCAGATGCTCTTCTAATCAAGGCTTTCTTATTTTTGTTAATTACAATTTAATCATTGTTATGTTAAATGAATACTACCTCCGGTCTTAATTATAAGATCTCATTTGTAGACTATAAACAAGGTCTTATAATTAGGATTGGAAGTAATATATAGCTAGTGACTTATAACAATAATATTTATCTTGAAAATAGAAGTAAATTAATTAATAAAATACACACAGTGACCATACACCAAGTCCAAAAATAAAAACAACATTTTTCATTCTATATTAGCCTCGGACATATGTAGTAAAATTTACGTACGCACAAGCCCTATCTGCTATATACAAGTTTAAACAAATTAAATTTCACCGGGAAAATTTTTGAAGACTCGTGTTTTAGAGTGAATTGAACTAAAAATATTTTATTATAATAAGGATAAATATAAATTTAAGACGTTGATCGCTACTCGCGATCTAAATCGACAAGCATCCATATATGTACTACCTGGAAGATCAATATCATCATTGACTTTATAACTTTTAGCTTGTGCTTAATGTGATTGATCGTAACCTGCAAGTAGCTTCAAGATAAAAAGGCTTTGAACTTAACCATATTGAACGGCAATTTTTACATTGTTTTAGCCACCATTCGCAAGACCAATTAGTCCGCATTATGCCCTGCCCTTTGTCTTCATCGTGTTATATTGAATCATATTTTATTTTCATGGCCGGCTGAAAACCCTATATATAAAGTTCCTCACCCTGCTATTGTCCCTCACCTCTCGAACACTTGGACCAAATGGCAATCCCCAACTTCATGTCTTCTCTTATCATCTGCATCTTCTTCCTCCTTTTCCTGTCTCAGAATGTGAACTCACTTGTCTTCAAATTCCCCGCCTTCGACCCTTCAAGTACCGCCATAACTTTTCAAGGCGACGCTTCTGCAAGTCAGGGCTTCCTCCAGCTCACAAAGACCATCAATGGCGTCCCTCGACCTGACAGCGCTGGCAGAGCCTCATACCCATTTCCTGTTCAACTCTGGGACACCAAAACAGGCAAGGTCGCTGCCTTCACCACCACCTTTTCTTTTATTGTGTCGCCTTCTTCTTCTGGTCTCTTGGGAGATGGATTCTCATTCTTCCTTGCTCCTTTCAATTCCGACATTCCTTCCAATTCAAGCGGTGGCTTCCTCGGACTCTTCAGTGCTCCCACTGCTTTGAACCCCTCCGCTAACAGAATTCTCGCTGTTGAGTTCGACACTTACGGGAATCCCTGGGACCCAACAAGCTCTGCTCATATAGGAGTTGACATAAATTCTATTGCTTCAGTTAAAACAACGTCTTGGAGTGTTGCGGAGGGCTTAATGGGAATCGCAACTATAAATTATAATCCAATTGTTGAAGAGTTAAATGTGTATGTGAGGTATCCTGGAAGAAATGGAACGCGACCAGTAGTAACCTCAGAGTTTCGGTTGATCCGAGGACTGTTCTTCCTGAGTGGGTTAGGGTTGGGTTTTCTGGAGCAACTGGACAGCTGGTTGAGATTCACAGAATTCTTTCATGGATTTTCCTCAGTTCAGACTTTCCATGAAGGCAGCGAGAGGCTTCTCAGCTGCGCATTCATTGTTGGAGGTTTCTTTTATGAAATCGTGTATTTGTGTTTCCGAGTTGCAACAACGTCTGTTTTATTATTAATAAGTGTATTATTAAAATAATGTTTACCCAAAAGAAAGTCTATTGAAAGTGGAAGTTGTTTGGCCAAGCAAAAATGGATAGCTGGATATATAGCTGCAGATGTATAATTCTCAAATGCTTCTAGTATGTTGTCAAACTCTTAAATTTCAATTTTAAATTAACACATCAATTAGCTGACACGATTTTCACTATGAAGAGAGTTCATCAAGTCATAATACATATCAAAATAGAGTAAATACTTCTGGAAAAAATAAAATGAAATAAAATTATAAGTTTAAGATTCATCCGGCACTTCAAAATATATTTTTGGATGCATCTAGTACCTTAAAGTATTTTGTGATGTATCCAACATTCTGAAATATTTTTTTAAAATTTATACAACACTTTAGAGTATTTTTTGGTCCATCTAGCACCCTAAATAGACCCAAAATTTTTTTTATGCATCCAGTATCAAAGCAAAAAAAAAAAACAATTCAGGGTGCTCGGTATACCACAAAAAACTTCGGGATGATGGATGCACCGAAAAAAATACTTCAAAGTGATAGAGACACCTTAACCCAAAATTATATAGACTATCTTTTTTTCGGATTATAAGTTTTCCCTAAATCAAAAACTTTAACTGTAATCAATTTCAAATATAATTAAAATCATCACATTATATTTTCTTAGCATATTTCCTCTCTCCATTAGTTACTAAGAAATTAAAGTCGTAAAAATGAATAATTTATCAAAATTTCTAAATAATTATGATTAAAATTACTTTAAAACGAGAACATTTGGCATATCCGATTCTCAGAACCGTCCCTGAAAATTGTTTTTTAATTAATGCATTTCTCTTGTATTGCTTTTTTCCCTATAATTAATGTATTTATTAATTGTTATCTATAAAAAAAAAAAACAAGGAAGACGGAATGATCTGTCAAATTTTTTGTTGATTTAAATTAGAATCTATTTATTTGCTGTTTATTTGTCATATTATATAAATGTAATATCAATTTAACCATAAAATTATCTATGATAATGGAATTCAGTAGTCATTATCACAATTTAAGCATTTCGAAATAGTATTACAAGGAAGATGAAGGTGGTTCTTTTTCCTGATAATTTTATATACAACAAGACAAAAGAGGGATAAATGAAATATGGAATACTACTATGATCCGTAATGTAACATCTAATTAACTAATTTGAGTAGATTAAGGATATTAGTTAAATTAGTTAATATGGTATGTCTTTTCTAAAACACACTAAGTATTTTTTCTTAATTTCCTCCCTTCCTTGCCTATTTGATTATTGTTTGAGGAATATCAATATGGTTAATTTGAGAAAAAATTGATAAACATATAAAATAAGTCTTAAATATAGGACAAACATCAACTTCCTAATTGGCTCATACATTGAGAAATGGTGGAATATATAACAAGTACTCTTCTAGTCTTACATATAAGACTCATTTTATAGTGTAAACTACACAACAAAATAAGTTTTATATTTAGGACTGGAAGAGTATTATTCATAAGATATGAATAATTCAACTTACTTTTTAAATTTTATGTAATAGAAAAAATGTATAGCTAATTAATACTCCATTTTGTCATTAATATAAGATCTATTTTATAATACAAATTACACTATAAAGTACTACCTCCGGTCCTAATTATAAGACCCAGTTGACTTATTTGAGGAGATTAAGGAAGTAAGTTAAGTTAGTTATTTGTAATAAATAAGTGTTATCATTCCTAAAATATCCTTGCTAATTAAGTGTATTGGCTAGCACTATCATTATTAGAAGGACTATCTTGGAAAAAAATGTATAAATATGAGAGACAAAATGGATTGGGGTCTTATAATTAGGACCAAATAAAAAGTCAAACGGGATCTTATATTAAGGACCAGAGGTAGTAGGTCTTACAGTAACTTGGGCTCCATCATTTTCTCTGCGCGTTCGCCTTGTCGTCCAAATGATTCAGTCAAAGCCAGGGATGATAGAAGAGGCAGTTAATCTATAATTCAATCCTTTTCAAGATATAAGAAGCTGAGTGCCCAAATGGAGTCCCATACATATCTTCTCTCTCTAAAGAAAATAACGTACTACATCAAATTTATATGGAATACATTTACAATAATTAAAGTCTCAAGAGACACTGATTTGTATCCCGACCTGTTATTAGATGGAAATTTTCCTCAATATGATATTTTTATCCACAAAATTTAAGCTCAAAACTGCTGAAAACTTCTACTCAAAAGATTTAATTTTAATCTCTAATCACATATATGTAACTTTTGTCTATTTAATTGTAGATTTTGGTATTTTCTTAATTTGTATATTTTTTTTAATATTAAGATAGTATGATACTACCTCCGGCTAACTAATTTAACTAGATTAAGAAAACTAGTTAAGTTAGTTATTTATAATAAATAGATTTTATCTTTCCTAAAATATCTTTGCTAGTTAAGTATATTGGTTAGAATCATCATTATTATAAGGACTACTTTAAATAAAAAGGATAAATATAAAAGACAAAATAAATTGATATTTATATTTAGAATTAAAATGAAAACAAAAACAATTTTTATATTAAGTACAGGAGGTAGTATTTCGTTTTTGGTCATATTTGCTGCAGGCTGAACAAATTAAGATCGTAACACGACGTTCGGCGTTTATGAAATTTAAAAAGTGGTCTTACATATATTGAAATTATCTATGATCTTTTGTCCATTTGTTTTTGTTGCTAGTAATAATTAATAACTTCCCTTGCTTTTTCCCCCTTGTTTTGATCCCCCGCGAGCTGGCACAAACTCATTTTGACAATTTATTATATCTTCTGTATTATAGTATTCTTATACAGCAGGCCAAGAAGCCCATATATATAGCTGCATTAAGCTCCTTTTGGTCTATCCACATAAATACATCATCAATAATCAAACATGGCTATGTGGAACCCAAAACCTTCCCTTACTATCTTCGTCTTCTTCCTCTTGCTAATCCATAAAATCAACTCAGAATCATTTTCCTTCAGATTCGACATTTTCGAGCCAGACCCATTACCTGTAGCTTTAGTCGGGGATGCAATTTCATACGGCGGGGCTCTCCTCCTCACGAGAAGAGATCAGGTCGGAGAAAAAGTCGTCATCCGCAAAAACAGTGTTGGTAGGGCAGTGTACCTCACACCAATCCACCTTTGGGATAGATACACAGGAAATGTTGCAGACTTCACCACCGAATTCAAGTTCGTGGTGGATTCCGGTGGACCGCAACTTCACGGCGACGGCTTGGCCTTCTTCATATCGCCGGCCGAAACTGCTCTTCACATCCCTGTAAATTCATCCGGTGGCTATCTAGGATTGTTCACTCCTGAGAATGCCTTCAATCCTACCAGGAATAGAGTCGTGGCCATTGAACTTGACAGCTTCGGGAACGTGTGGGACCCTGTCCCTTTGGCTCAAGCTGCTCACGTAGGAATCAATGTCAATTCGCTTAGGTCTGTGAACACTACAGATTGGCCTATCAATAGCATACCTGGAGGTTCTCTAGGAAAGGCACGCATCGTATATGCCTCTAAGACCAAAGAACTCGGTGTGACCATAAGTTACGGTGGTTCTAAGAGTGGTCAGAGAGTTTCACTATCGAAGATTGTTGACTTCAAGGGTGTTCTACCTGAATGGGTTAGAATTGGATTCTCTGCAGCCACTGGTGATTTGGTTGAATCCCATGACATTCTTTCTTGGTCTTTCTCTTCATTTCTTCGAACCCCAGAAAGCACTTGAAGACTCAACTACTCCGTATTTAATATTTATATAATTATATGTTTCCTCATGAATGACAGCAACAAGGCATTAAGCTTGGTGTTTTGCTTGAATTACATTTAGTTATTACCCTTCCGGTACTTAATATAAGACATATTTAACTAATTTGATTAGATTAAAAAAGTTAGATAAGTTAGTTAATTATAAAAAATATGACATGTTTTTCTTAAAATACCATAATCATTTTCTTTAATATCCTTCCTCCCTCTTCTACTTGATTATGGTTGAGGGAGTATCTATAAGGGTAATTTAGAAAAAAAATGATAATGATAAGAAATAGGTTTTATATTAAGGACTGGAGGAGTATCTTTCTTATTAAAACTTGGTGTGTGTTTGTTACGAATGGATGTTGACATTAATAAAGTAATCATTTGTCATAGTTGATGTAATTTGTTTGCTCGTGTTCACCAATTTCTCACCAAATTTTCTAGTGCTGTTTGAGCCTAAATGTCCGCGTTTGTGGACTTGATCACATTCAGAGTCATGCAATAATACTATGTTTACTTCTAAATATAAAAGTTAGTTGAGAGGTTGGAATCTGGTTTGAAATGTAAGACATCAATTCATTTTATCTCCCAAATTTATAATGTGTTATCCAAGGTATCTCCATTGATTGTAAGGTGCTTCTGCCCAAGGATAGTTTTAATGTACTGCTCTGTTCGTATCTATAAGTTACTTGTAGGGAAAAAGTTTGTTTCCAAATATAAGTCATTTATAGGGTAGTTAATGAGTTTTTTTTTTTTTTCAATTTTACCCATGTTAACTTAATAAATGTATAGAGAGATCAAGCAAATAAGTGAAAGATAATATAAAATATAGTTTTAATACCCTTATTAGGGCGTGTGGAAAAAATTATCAATTTAATGCATTTCTTAGTTTGTAGACTTAGAGTACAAGTGAACTATAAATAAGAATAGAGTAGTACTACCTCTGATCCTAATTATAAGAGCTAGTTGACTAAGTTAAGGAGATTAAGAAAAGAAGTTAAGTTAGTTATTTGTAATAAATATATGTTGTCTTTCCTAAAATATCCTTGCTAATCAAGTATATTGGCTAAAACTACCATTGCTAGAAGGACTACTTTGGAAAAAATGTATAAATATGAGAGACAAAGTGGATTGGGGTCTTATATTTAGGACAAAAACAAAAATCAAATAAAGTCTTGTATTAATAACCAGTAGTATATGATTGTAACTGTTTGGGAAGATTTTTACCAAGGAACAGGTCGTAACGTTAGAAATGGCAGAACCACCCATTTTTGGTGGGACCATTGGACACCTCTTGGAACCTCCCTCACTAACCTGGTGACTCAAAACTTCCACCCTCAGGATCCGGGCGCCACTGTGAGATCCTTCACTATGGAAAATGGACAGTGGAAGACTAATGCCTTAAGGCTTTTCTTACCTCAATCGGTTATTAGGAACATCATCAAAATTCACCCCTACTAGTGAAGAAGCAGACATCTTCGTTTGGACAGCCAGTACGGATGGTAATTTCTCCATTAAGTCAGCTTATAAACTGATATCTCAGCGTGCAAAACATCGAACAGCAGGGCATTGGAGGAAAATCTAGAAATTACCGGTTCCTGAGAAACTTTCTTCTGGCAAGTTTTCCATGAGAAGCTTCTTACTAATTCCCTTAGAGCTCAGAGAGGAATTGTTGTGAGTGAGGAGTGCCCTTAATTAGTGTGTGAGAGAGAAAAATATATTACACATATTGATAGATTGTGAGATTGCTAGAGATTTGTGGATACAATTTTTTAATTCTAAACTTCATTTAGGTTTCTTTCGTTCTAACTTGCAAGTCTGGCTAGGAGAAAACTTGAAGGAGTGGGGAATTTCAAGCACTAACAGATGGCCTTGGGCTAAATTGTTCTGCTATGTTTGTTGGCTACTTTGGAAAAATAGGCATCGCGGAATCATGAGCGGAACTCGAGTGCAGGCAGCTGAAATCATACACACAAGTCTCTTCCACTTGATGAAGGCAGTGGAACTAGGAAAGCACAAACATCGGATCCTTAATTTCAATGAAGATGTGGACACTACATGGCAACCACCGAGAGAAGGCACTGTTCGGCTTGACACAGACGGCTCAGTTAATCAACATATATAGGAGTGCAAGTTGCAGAGGTTTAGTCTGAGATTCTTAGGTTACGTTTAGTATGAAGTATTAAAAATAAAAGATAAAGATTGAGATTGGAGTTGAAAATATATGTTAAAAGGATACTTAATATGAGTGATTTCTTATCATGTGGGATTAGGTAATCCCATATAGATAGGATTGGAGAATACCATCTCCCCTCATAGTATTCCCCAATCCCACGTATATGGGTTTGTCTAATCCCAAGTATAATATAATTACTCGCACTAAACATCCTTTTAAGATAGTTTTGCACTTTTAATTTCAATCCCTATCTCTGATTTTTAATACTTCGTACCAAACGAGGCCTTATGACATTAGAAACTGGGTTTCCAGAGAAAACTTGGCTATTTACCTTCTGCAGCGATAGAGATGATAGCGTTACTGATGGGTCTACGACTGTGTAGCCAATACAATTACCAAAAAGTTATTGCATATACAGGCTCCGTGAAAACCATCCAATTGATATTCCATGACTATGGAGACCAACACCCGCTAGGGGCGAAGATCAAGGAGATTCGGGAATTGATTTATTCAGACTAGGAGGTAGAGATTAGATACACAACAAAGGAAGCGATTAAATGCACAGATTTCTTGGCACGATAAGCGCAAACTTTGTTCGAAGACTATGTCATTTGGATAAATCCACCTATCGGATGTCTACCCCTTTTGAGAACTGACTCAGCATGGCCGATGATGTTAGGAGAACAGTCTAGCGGTGTTTGATTTCAAGTTCTGAACTTGCCTTTGGTATGGGGAAAAAAAAGAAGAAGAGTAGTATATGATTGAATTAGAGCAATTTAGGAAAGTTAGTATGCATTTGTTGCAAATAACCAAGTTAACTAATTCATTTAATTTTTTCAAATTAATTATCTGGCTCTTGTATATCACCTCAGGTCTTTAATATGAGTGCTAGTTGGGAATTTGACTTAATCATAAATATAAGATCTCAATCTATTTCGTCCCCCAAATTTGTAATTTATACTCTAAAGTAACTCTTTTGATTACACATATTAAGGGCTTTTATCTAAGAGTAGTCGTAATTAAAAATAGATACCTTAGGAAAATCAACTTATATTTGTGACAAACAACCACCTTAACTAATTTTTTAATCTAATCAAATTAGTTAAATGGTTCCTATATTAAAAACCAGAGATAGTATTAAAGATGGAACATAATATTTTTAATCAAGTCAACACTGATGTCGGGAATCAAGGATAAACCGACACAGATATACTGACAAATGCGTCACAAATATAACATCAAAACTCGAGCAACAAATGCATTATTCAATTAGAAAAAAAACTCAGATATCCTCCCACCACATGATCATGCAAATTCAACCACTTAGACCACCACAGCATTATTTTTGTCTCTAATGTTTGGGTGAACCTCTCGCGCAAAAAAAAAAAAAAATTATATCTTCTATCTATTTTGGTGGAGGAAAGAAAATAGCATCAGAAGTCCTCTTTGAACGGAAGAGTTGCTCAAGTTTTGAATCCACATTGAAACCAGCTTGCAAAACTGTCGGAGATAGAGCCTTCCACACCGAAGAACTTCCAGCCAAATGGGTGAATACAGGACTGTGTCATACAATTAGTCATAGTCAGAACCACAAACATCATTATGAATTAATTAGAACATAGATAATTATATGACATTTACAAGCAAGCAACAGAGAAATCTGGGATGCAAACACGAGTACGTAAAATTGGTGAGAATCACAAAGAATAAGATTGTAAAGGTATTAGTATATATATATGTATGTATGTATGTATGTATGTATGTATGTATGTATATATAGGTGAATGAACATATTGTGGAATGAAAAGAAAGAGAAACTTACTTAGGAGTCGTGATGATAGAGAACCACTCCATTCCATCTGGATCAGCAATCTTTGAAACCACATGAAACCGAGGTACGATGAACAAGTTACCAGCTTTTACTGTTGTCTCCAGGACTCTTTTACCGTCAGGGCCAACAACCTGAGCACGACCGCTTCCTCTGACAATATAAGTAACTTGCAAGGCAGAGTCACATGAAAATCCAGGAGAGCACATGGCACTACCATCTAGCCTGACAAGATCAGCTCCAAGTCCAACCTCACCAACCAAGGGAAGATTCTTGGTGTTCAAAACAACCACTCTTCCACCATCCTTAATATCAACATCTAATGGAGCTTCAAGACAGTTCAATGCCATACCTTTACGATGATCAGGTTTTGGCTCGGGAAGTTTAATGTTTCCGTCAAGCTTCACAATGCCCTTGCCTGATTGGCTTCCAACTAAGGTCTTAACATCTTTCTCCTCTAAGTCCCAGGCTCTCCCCACAAACTCGTTGGAAAAACCAGTGAAGATTCCGTTGGAACCGGTCAAAAAGAAGTTGGTGAATTCACCAGCCTTGTGGGCTTTTGAAGTGTCACCAAGGAAAAGAACAACCAACTCAGTGTCGTCCTTGTTGTACCACCAAGTCACAACCCCAAAAGGAAGTGCCAAAGCATCGCCCTTTTTGATTGCAAGAACCTTTTCTTCTGATTCAGGCAGTACGATTCCCGCAACTCCATTCCCTGAAAATGACACAGTTAAAGAATATACAAATGATTTTAAGAATATCAAATTAACCAAGTAATTGTAATGCTAGGATAACGTTATGTATGTCTAGGCTTTGATGTGACCTCCAAAATTCAGATTCGGACAGAAAAAAAAGCAGTTCATAGTTAGCTATATACGCTCACAGAGAACCAAAATCAAACGGTGAGTCTGCAGAATTAGTGCTGCAGAACGCCGAGAGTTCATACAGAATGGAGTATGCATTGAAACAATCGTTAAATCTTGATAGAAAGATTCCCACATCATGATCCGAACGTTGCATTCAATTATTGTGAGACATTTTATTAACTTCACCAACGATCATAAAATTGCTGTTAAAACCGAACACATTATGTCAAGAATTGAAGATCACAGACAGGGATTTATTTCTATGACAATAATAAAATCACGAGGGCTCTCGAATCAAGAATCAAGATCGGTCTGTGATGCTAAGATAATTAAAATCAAGAATTATACATGACATACTCCAAAATCAAACAAACACGATGCATTCCAGAATAGATATACCAAGAATGAAGAAAGCAATAAGACAAGAAAAAAAAAAAACCTTGAAGAACGTAAGCAACCATGGAAGAGTCTGAGTATCTAGGAAGGGCAAAGCCATTCTTTTCAAGAGCGAGTTTAGCTGCACCGATATTGCCATGTTGTAACATGGGGAGCTCAGAGGGAGACCAGGCGTGGTAAGATCCACCATCGCCTTCGCAAACTTTCTTGGCCAACTGGGGAGTAAGATCAATCGCCATGATCGTCTCTTGTTTCTGCAACAAATGACGAAAACTAACACCACACTGTGAGAGGAAAAGAAGGATCACAAATCTGTGTGTTGAATATGCCTTCGTGGAGTGGGAATTTATAGCAGATTAGAGAGAGTCTCGTGGGGCTGGAGCTCTGAAATTTTGGTAACTCTTAAATTTTAATTTGGAAAATTATAATTGGTTGAGATATGGTTCAGAGTGACGTATCCTCATCTCTCGCTCTAAAAAGAAGTAATTTATCCTTATCTACGAAATACAAAATTAAATTATGTTACTGTAACAAAAAAATTAATTATGATATATAAATTGTGTTTTGAAAGGTTAAAAATAAAAGAATGAAAAGATAAGTTTTAATGTTGCTTTAGGACAAGGATGGTTATGAATATAAAACATAAAATCTATACAAGTTACTTAGTACTATTTATACTTATAAATAATATCTGACGTAAAAAAAATACTTATAAATAGTATCACTTATTTTGAATGTTGTGTAGAAAGACTTAATTTAGAGTTAGAAACTTCAAAATGCTACTCAAGGGTGAGGACGTGAAATCGAGGTATCTGATGATCGCCACTCTTCATTCCTTTCCTTTTATCCTTTATGTCTAATTGTCAAAAATTTGACTGTGCTTTTCTTTTTCTTTTTTTTTTTTCCCCCAAAATCTATCCTGTACAAAACAAAATCATGTAAAATAATTTAAATCAAACACTCTCAATTATATTTGCCGCTGGCCGTAGCCAACATGGTACATATATAAAAGGGAGGGCAAAATTTTCGCTCAACTTTCTCAAACTTGACAGGCCTAACGCCTATTTCTAACCCATTCTGAATTCTAAATACCTTTTTTTAGGCACAAGTATTTTTTTTATTAGAGTTAATTCTATTTGAGGCATTATGAGCATTCAATGTAGGCACATTTTTCAATAAGAATCAAAATCAAAATATTAATTTACCATATTGTAAGAGACTAATTATTTCTGTTAAAGTCAACTCTTGTGGGCCTGTTCTGAATATTTCTAAGCCTCTAACAATCATTATTTCTAGCCTACTTAATTACCCTTAACAATTTCCAAATTTTAATTCAACTTAATTATCCTTAAATACTCCAAAATTCCTATTTATTTACATCTAAACACTCCTATACTTCCAATTTAACTCAGTTGATGGCAAAAAAGCATCTAACTCAATTAATTTTAGAAAATAGAAATTAGGATGTTAAACATTCAATCCCAAATTTTTATGGTACAATCAAAGTTTAAAAAGATTTATTGAAGGTATTTATCTTCAAATAAATCTTTCAATCTTAATAAAGTAATAAAATTAAATTAAAAAATATTTTTATAAAAACATACTATTGGCTTACCAAGATTTCTTTATATATTTTTATAAATTTATATTATTGGCTTTGGCTTACCGAGATATCTACATATATACGAGTTGTAAACTCCATTTGGGTCATTCGACTCCTACGTCCTTTAAATATATACGCCCCTCTCTTCATCCTCTTACTTTCGCTCCTCTTCAAAATCAACATGTGATCATATTCCTTCAATTCCCTACCAGTTGGTGCTTGTTAGCTGGACCAATGCATCGAAAAAAATGGCAGACAGTCGAGAGTGAGTGAATAGCTAGCTAGCCGATGCTTCTTGTTTGCAGAAAAATAGCGGTGGGAAACTGAAAATACAGTTGAGAATTGAGACTACAGAACAAGTAATTGAAATATGTAACTGATGAAAGTAAAGCCCCTTTTTAAGTTAAAGGCAATTAAGATGGGAGTGCGAACTTGGTTCCCGGCCCGTATGACTGTTAACAAGGGAAGAAGTAAAAGAATACCATACCAGACGAAGAAGAAAAATGTGTCAAGTATTGTGTAACTTCTGTTAAGTTATTTCGATGTATTCAGTTAGCATTCTGTTATGTATTTTTCCAAACTCTCGTGTATATGTATCCTACTTCTCATTAATGAAAGTATCTTATCATTTTCCCGCAAATCAAGTCACATGGTATCTAGAGCCTTCTAAAGCCCTTTTTCGTCATTTTCTCTCCTTTCTTCACTTTCCTTTTCATGCTCGTTTTCTCTGCTCCTTTCTTTCTTTGATCGTTCTAACCTTCTCCCATGGCATATCTTTTAATTTCTCTATTGATCAGTCAAGCTCCTACTACATTTACCCTAAATCGAATCATCATGGCCTGTCTCATCCCATGCAAATAGCTTTATTATCGAAGAATAAGCTCCACTTTGTTGATGGCACTCTGTCTCCCCCTTCATCCACGGACAAACTCCTTCCAGAGTGGGAGCGGTGCAACAAACAAAAGAAAGAATGGGAGATAGAAAATGAAGGAAAGCAAAAACGAACAATACAACATGATGCACTTAAAAGCCAAAAAAGCGGTGCATTTCTAGTTTTATAACGCTATATAAAGTTTTTAGGTTGATCCATTAATTTTATAAAATATCTTTTCAATCTTTTAATCTTAACACTGGTAGTTTCAAATGATAATTTTTTTTGGTAATAATTATTGTTATTTCAAAAGTTAAACTTAATATGTCACTACTTAAAAATATTTTATCTAATGTAAAATTGTTATATTAACATTTTTTATATTAATGACCTTAGAATTAAAGAACTAAAAATTAAAACCACTACAAAAAAAATACTTTAGACGACAACTTTCAACGGTGACAAAAAAAGTCACCGCTGAAGCTAAAACTAAGACTTTCAGCAGCGACATTTTTGTCACCTCTGAAAGTTAACTTTTTGCGGTGACTTTTTTTGTCACTGCTAAAAGTATACCTTTGAGCGGAAGATCATGTAATCATTGGGTTCACTTTTAGCGACGACATTTTATGGTCACCGCTAAGAGTAGACTTTCAGTGGCGGCTATTAGTGTCGCCGCTGAAGGTCTAATTTTCAGTGGCGACATTTTATGGTCACCACTAAAAGTATTAGTGTCGCTGCTGAAAGTGTAATATAATAATATATATTATTTTATAATAGTAATAAACAAATTCAATCCGGCTCAGCAGCAAAAAGATTGGACACGAAAGAAGGTAGTTATGAGTTCAAACCTTGAAGAAGACACATTTAAGGTGAAAATTTTTTTTTGGTAATAATTATTGTTATTTTAAAAGTTAAAATTAATATGTCACTATTTAAAAATATTTTATCTAATGTAAAATTTTTATATTAACATTTTTTATATTAATGGCATTAGAATTAAAGAACTAAAAATTAAAACACCTTATAGCATTTAAAGGAGAAAAATAAAACGTTATGTAACGTTATCAAAAGTGCACTTTTTGCCAAATAAAAAAGACGAACAATCCATATGTGTGAATCCTATAATGAGTTGCTTTCTATCATTCACTAAAAAATCGTTGTTAATTTTTTCCAAGGAAAAACAAGACCATGGCTATAGATGGGCATGTTTCAAGTAAATAACTTTATAAAAATCTAAATTGATATAAAATAATGAATACCTTTACCATATAGATGATATTAAAACAAAAAAAAAGATAAAATAATTTACATATTTAAAATTCAAATAACAAAAAAGGCAAGGTTAAAAAAAGAGAAATTTATACATGGGACTGGGTGGATGTGTGGATGGCTTGCTCGGGTCCCATCTGTCCCATTTCTTCTTCTTCTTGTCTGAACAATTTTAACTCCTTCTCAAGGACCCATACACCCCTCACATACACACGTTTATTTTTATTCTAATTACTTGGGGTATAGAATTCACTTTTTTTTTTTTGGTAAGAGGTGTGTGATGCCGTATGAACTACTACCTTCTAACCTTAGTTAGCTCACTAATTTGGGCAATATAAACTTGTGGCATCTGTCATTTGTGTTGGTCCAAACATTTGTGCTCTGTTGTTTGTTGGACCCGTCCCATTTCAACCCATGACCGGGACCAACACACTATGAAAACTGAAAACTCCTACCATCGCCCCCCCCCAAAAAAAAAAACAGAAGAACCCAAAAAAATGCAGCTAGAAGCTGTTATCCCCATCAAAAAAAAAAAAACGGCAGCTAATTGAAGTTAGCTCAGTGGAAGAATAATATGATATAATTAGTGGTTGTGATTAATGATTCGCACATAATATACACATGAAAAATATATTGTATTGTTATTACCATCCAATACATATAGGATACAATTATTTTTAGTAAAATATACTTAATCTATTTCAATCCTTAATGTAGGACTTAATTAACTAATTTTAGTAGAATGCAATTTAGCTTCTCAACCTAGACGATGCAATTTGCTTGTTGATACAGCTAAGCATGAACGAGATTCAACTTCTTGTAAGAAGCATAGCTGGAATCGTATCCGTTCATTGAAATTATCAGTAATCTTGAATTTGTTGTGGGCAAGAAGAATATTCCTGGCTTTTCCCCTTATGCATGAGATCAACGAGCTAGCGAGGCCGCACTCCTCATTATTATTTAAATTTAATCATCATTATTCTCAGTTTATTTAATTTTCTTAATTAACCTTGTCCAATATATATATATATGCACTAATCTCCTTCTTAACACAAGCACAAACACATCAATAACGATCAAGCATGGCCATCAGCTGGAACCCAAAGCCTTCCCTTATGATCTTCGTCTTCTTCCTCCTGTTACACAAAATCAACTCAGAATCACTGTCCTTCAACTTCAATGATTTCGAGCCTGAGGCCAAGCTATTACCCATTGCCTTAGAAGGCGATGCCATTTCATATGGCGGCGCTATCCTACTCACAAAGAGAGATACCGAACCTGGAGGGAGAAACGTCACGATGCGCCAACACAGCGTTGGACGAGCAGTCTACCTGACACCAATCCACCTTTGGAACAGTGACACCGGTAAAGTCGCAGACTTCACCACAGAATTCTCCTTCGTGGTGGCTTCAAATGGCTCTTTCCTTCACGGCGACGGCTTGGCTTTCTTCTTAGCGCCGGTCGGAACCGCCCTTAGCATCCCTGCAAATTCATCAGGTGGCTATCTGGGATTGTTCGGCCCCGAAATAGCCTTCAGTACCTCCCAGAATCAGATCGTGGCCGTCGAACTAGACGGCTTCGGGAACGAGTGGGACCCCATTCCAGAACCTCCAGCTGCTCATGTAGGAATCGATGTTAATTCTCTTAGGTCTGTGAAAACTGCTGATTGGCCGATCAACCTCGGTCCACGAGGTTCTATTGGGAAGGCTCGTATATCATACGAATCTAAGACTACTACCTTAAATGTGTTGATTGGTTATACTGATTCTCAACCCAATAGGTATGTATCTCTGTCGCAAACCATTGACTTGAAGACTGTGCTGCCGGAATGGATTAGAATTGGATTCTCGGCGGCCACTGGGGATCAGGTTGAGGCCCATGACATTGTTTCGTGGTCTTTCAGTTCGTTTCTTCCGGATGATGACGAGTGAAGCGATTAATTCCTAGTGATGAAAATAACAGCAATCAAGGGTGGGTGTTCTGAATCTGGGTTTTGTTTTTCATGTTTCCTTAATAACAACGAGGCGCCAAATCAAAAGTCTGGCGCGTCTTCATCATAAAGTTCTTGTGTTTTAATCAAGCCTTTTGTTCTAGGTGGGAAGTACTCCGGTGTTTGTATTTAATTACTTCTATTAATGAAAGTCATAGGTGCCGTTAGTTTGTTTGTACATGCCTTTGGTATATCTCTCTCATGGGCTTTAATTTATGAGTTTATATATGGATTTTTTTTTAATCGATACCAAATAAGAAAAACCTTTTGAGGTTGATGCCCAGAGGGTGAAAATATATAACACCTAACACAGCCCGCGGTATATAAGGACATTTGCTTGTAATCATTATATGTATATCATCAATAAATTAACTCATTTAAGAAGGGGATTAAAAGAAACCACGTGCAATACAAATACTATACCTTTGGTCCCTAATATACAGGTGGAGAGTTATATTTAGTTTTAAATATAAAAATTTTAATTCATTTTTTTACATGGCTATCTAGATGGGTCAAATTCGAACATTCTAACGTGGTTATTTGACTGGGTTAGATTCGAGTATTGTCAAGCCTAATTGGAAATAGCCTTTTCAAAAATGTTTTCTGCGTTCACACTGACTTAAAATCTCATTTTTAAGTGGTTAAAGCTCCTTTCATTAGGACAGATATCTGTTGATAAATCTTAATCTATTTTTTATCTTTCATATTTATCAATTTTACTTCTTAAAATATGCTATCTAACTTATAGATTGATATATAACCTAATGTTGTACAGGAGTATAAGACATCATGCCACAATCGTGATAATTAACTAATTTAATTTATTTGACTTATTAATCTATTCTAATTAGTTAATTAGCTTTTATACATAATGAGACTCGAAGGGAGTAATACATTTCTTATTTTTTTCTTAACATGAAAAACGTGTTTTAGAACTAAAGGTAATATTGAGAAACACACATGTATGTGCGTGTCATCATTGTATGTATAATCAATCAATGAATTAACTCATTTAAGAGGGCGATTAAAACAAACCACATGCAATACAAATAATTTAAGGAAAACTGATTTGGAGTTCCTTACAGTTTCACTTAATTTTCAGTTAGTCCTTAGAATCTTTTATCTTTTTTTTGTTGGTGCTTTTAGTTTTTACGGTTAAATCTGTTAGTGCTTTATCATTCAGAGTGTTCAAAATTCTGTCAAAAGTGCTGTAACGAAACCAGGCCCAAAGTTGCAAGAGAAGCTAGCCCAAAATGAACAATTCCGGAGAAGCTTGAGGATTAAGAAGAAAACCTGGAAGCTTTGCGAATTGGAGAATGACGCATGACTATAATAGGACAAGGGAGTGTAAGGATTGGCGTGGAATATTTTATTGAAGACTCTCTCTCTCTCCTTGGAGGAATCTTTCCTTATTTCCTTTTTGCAAACTCTGACATTTCTTCCGTATTTCCTGACAGCTTGTACTAATTCCTCATTGATTTTTGTACTATCAGATCATATGGCTGTTGAGGAATATTTATAAAATCAATATAGCTTTCTCATATATATATTTGTCAATATCCATCTTTTTCTTAGTCATTGCATTCTGGTGCTTTTATTGAGAGAAGAATGGCAGAAAACACATGACTCAAAGAACTACAGGCTAATATGAAGAAGGCAAATGAATTTATTGATGAGGCGACTGGTCGATTTAGTAAGATCGAAGGCCTTTTGGAAATGCTAGTCTAGTCCATGGACAGCATCCACGAGAAGGTAGAACACTCATCTTCAAGCTCGAAAGAACCCTTGGTACCAGAAGAGGAGCCAGTGAGCCAGGCCGTTACTCATACAATAGGGAAGTAGATTAAGATAGAGTTCCCTAGGTTCGACGGCACGGACGCATTAGACTAGATCTTTAAGGCTGAGCGATATTTTAAATACTATGAGATCAAAGACCCACAACGTCTCATAATAGCGTCGGTTCACTTTGAAGGGAACATACTGCCATGGTTCCAAGTTTTGGAGAAGACACACCAGGTTACCGACTGGAACTCGCTTGCAAGGGCCGTGGAAGATCAATATGGACCTTCAAGGTTTGAATGTGCTCGGGCGCAACTATTTAAGCTGACCATGCAGAACAGCTTGAAAGTATATAACACCAAGTTCATGGCATTATCTAACAGTACGGAGGGTGTACTAGAGTCAGCATTATTGGACTGTTACGTAGGAGGACTAAAAATGGAGTTAAGGCGGGATGTGCTGGTTTAACGTCCCAAGTCAGTCCGGTCTATAATGGTGCTAGCTCGTCTCTACTATGAGAACTCAGCATATGGGGTAAATGTTGCGAAGGAAAGAGGAGGCTCAGGCATGAGTGGGCTCACCCTTAACGGAGCTAGTAACACGATGGTGTCAAGGAATAGTAGTGCCGGTCATACTGCCACAGGAGGAGGAAAAGCTAATCTACCTCCACTGTTACCCACACCTAATACTCCTCAGATTAAGAAGTTGACACCCACTGAGGTACAGGTTCGCAGAGAGAAGGGTCTATGCTACACTTATGATGCCAAGTTTTCTCCCAACCATAGATGCCCCAACTGTCAGATGATGATGATGATATGTGATAACGACCCTGAGAGGGATGAAGAGATACAGAATGCAGAAGAAACCGTGGTGGAAGTGACACTACACCACTTATCACTACACGCTTTAAGGGGAACTCAGGGCCCTACCATGATATGTTTCAATGGCTGTATTAATTGAACTGAGGTACAAATATTATTGGATGGTAGGAGTTCTGATAACTTTATACACCCTCATATAGTGGCGCACCTGGGATTGCCGGTAGAATGTACCACAGAGTTGCGAGTATTAGGGGGAACAGGGTAGGTCTTAAGGAGCAATGAGCGAGTCATGAATGTGCCCATACAGATAAGTGGCCACACCCTTGAACTGACTCTGTTTGTGTTGCCCATGGCAGGGGTCGATCTAGTAATGGGGGCAGACTGGTTGGAGAGGTTAGGGGCTCATGTGGCGGATTATAGTACTTCTACTATAAGGTTCCTTCAAGATGGACAATTTGTAACGTTGAGAGGATACAGGGGACATTCTATGACCCAAGCCAATTTTCATCATCTTGTTTAGCTATGCCAAACCGACACTGTGGCAAAGATATATATATATATATTATGAATGCAACCCCTATACCAGAAACATTAGCAGAAGAAGCAGTAGCAGCAGACATTGCTTAGATCGTTCAATGATATGAAGAGGTTTTTGAGCAATCGTATGGGTTACCACCAAGTCGTGATCATGAGCACTAAATTGAACTAAAACCAGGAACAGGGCTGGTAAAAGTGAAACCATATCAGTACCCAGTGAGTCAGAAAACAGAGATTGAAAACATGGTTCAAGAATTATTACGAGAAGGTTTAATCCGACCCAGCAATAACCCATTCTCCACCCTTGTGATATTGGTGAAAAAGAAGGATGGAACATGGAGGTTTTGTATAGATTATAGGGCGTTAAATACTGTCACAGTCAAGGATGCTTTTCCTATGCCCACGGTTGATGAATTAATAGATGAATTATATGGGTCCACTTATTATTCTAAGCTTGACCTCAGGTATGGGTATCATTAGATTCTAATGCAAGAAGTGGATAGAGAGAAGACAGCATTTCGAACTCATTAAGGATTATATGAGTGGGTTGTAATGCCATTTGGATTAACAAATGCGCCAGCAACTTTCCAGGCTCTGATAAATTCAGTGTTCCAACCCTTCTTGAGGAAATTTGTTTTAATATTCTTCGGTGACAATGTATAGTGCCACCTAGGAATTACATTTACGACACTTGGAATTGGTGATGAAAGTATTGGTTGAACACCGGCTATATGCAAAAAGGTCCAAGTGCGCATTTGGTAAAACAAAGATTGAGTATCTGGGGCATGTAGTGTCAGCTAAAGGAGGGGAAATGGATCCGATGAAGATTCGAGCAATTCAAGAATGGCCCACACCCGTAAATGTCACTAGTTAAAGGGGTTCCTAGGCCTCAATGGATGCTACCGGAAGTTCATCAATAAGTACGCCACGATTGCTGGGCCACTCACTTAATTATTAAAGAAGGATTCATTTAATTGGAGGCCCCAAGCCCAAGAAGCCTTTGGAGCCCTGAAATAAGCACTCACTACAGCTCTTGTCTTGGCACTACTGAATTTTCAGAAATCTTTTGTACTAGAGACAGACGCTTCTGGTATGGGAATCGGAGCAGTATTAAGTCAAGATCAACACCCAATTGCTTTTTTCTCCAAGAAATTACCTCCTCGGATGTAGACACAATCAATGTATGTCCGAGAATTATACGCAATCACATAAGCAGTCTCCCGATTTCATCATTATTTATTAGGGCACCATTTTATCATACGGACGGATCATGACAGCTTGAAGCACCTTAATGACCAAACCATCTACACATCGGAGCAGGTAGCCTATCTACCTAAATTGTTGGGCTACAAATTTGATATTGAATAAAAACCAGGCAGAACGAATCAGGTGGCCGATGCCCTATCTAGAGTATCGTGTATGGCGCTAACTACGGTGGAGAATACTTTCATGGATCACATATACACCAAGGTATGAACTTCTTCTTTGATTTAACAATTGAAGAAAAAATTAGAAAAAGACCCAAGCTCGATGAAACACTTCCATCTTTGTGATCAAGATTTATACTGGAAACATCACCTGGTAATCCCACACGATGATGCATAATTACTAAAGATGATTTTAGATGAGTTTCATTCCTCTATAACAGGAGGCCATGGGGGATTCCTTCACACTTTTCACAGAATTGCCAGACTTTATTTTTGGACCAAGATACGAAAGGATATCAGAAATTACATTCAGAATTGTGCTCTCTGTTAGCAGGCAAAACTGTCACAACTACACCCTTCAGGATTGCTTCAACCATTATCTGTTCCTGAACGGATTTGGGAAGATGTTGCTATGGATTTTATAGTGGGGCTTCTAATTGTGAAAGGCTATTTAGTTATTATGGTAGTGGTTGAGAGATTGTCTAAGTATGCCCATTTCATTCCTCTACCAAGCCATTTTTCCAATCAAATAGTTGCTGAAGCTTTTTTGCATAATATTATTAAACTGCATGGGCTGCCAAGAACAATTGTATCAGATAGAGATCGGACCTTCACTAGTGCTTTCTGGAAGCATTTAATGAAGTTACAAGGTGTTCAACTGTGTTTCAGTTATGCATACCACCCCAGTCGGATGGGCAATCAAAGGCCCTAAATAAATGCGTTGAAATGTATCTGAGATGCTTTGTGTCTGATTTTCCCAGAAAATGGCTTAATTATTTACCCTGGGCAGAATTTTGGTACAACACTTTGTTTCATTCCTCAATTGGAATGATTCCCTTTAAGGTCGTTTATGGTAGGGATCCCCCTTCCCTGTTACGACAGTTCAGCAGAGGACACACCTCTCAATATTCATCAGCAGTTAGAGCAGAGGGACGAGGTGTTAGACATTTTGAAATCCAACATCAAAAAGGCGCAACAACGTATGAAGCTTTACGCAGATAAGAAAAGAACATAAGTGCAGTTTTAGGTGGGAGATTTGGTTCTAATAAAATTACAACCTTATAGACAATACTCTGTGCAACTACGAAAATTTTAGAAACTAGCTATGCATTATTTTGGCCCTTTTCCCATTGTTGAGCGTATCGGGTCTGTTGCTTACAAAGTCCAGCTTCCTAATTATGCAAGGATTCATCTGGTGTTCTATGTTTCTATGTTGAAAAAATTTCACGGCAATGATACGGCCACTCACTTGGCATTACCCCTGTTAATAGTTCCAGAAGGGCCAATTAGGCAACCAATGGGAATTAATGGGGCACGTTGGGTACAGCAAAATGGGCAGTGGATGCGACAATTTCAGGTCCAATAAGAGGGAACGTCTGAACACACTTGGGAATTCGTGCAAGACTTGCAACAGCTGTATCCAACCTTGAACCTTGAGGACAAGGTTCATTTCAATGGAGGGGATGATTTAACGAACCCAGGCCCAAAGTTACACGAGAAGCTGCCCAAAATGAACCAGTCCAGAGAAGCTTGAGGATTAAGAAGAAAACCTAGAAGCTTCGCGAATTGGAGAATGACACATGACTGTAATAGGACAAGGGAGTGTAAGGATTGGCGTGGAATATTTTATTGAAGACTCTCTCTCTCTCTCCTTGCAGGAATCTTTCCTTATTTTCTTTTTACAAACTCTGACATTTCTTCTGTATTTCCTGACCTTGTACTATTTCTTCATTGATTTTTGTACTATCAGATCGTATGGCTGTTGAGGAATATTTATAAAATCAATACAGCTTTCTCATATATATTTGTCAATAACTATCTTTTTCCTAGTCATTGCAAGTGCTGACATGATGAACACTTGGATTATTTTGACAACTAAGCATCTATGTGGAAAACATTTAGCCAGCAGCCTTGAAAACAAATTTTTTTCCCCAGAAAACATACGGGTTTGTGGAAGTTGCCGATCAGAGCCTCCCGTGTTCCATGAACTAAAAATTTCTCTTGGAGATGCAACATCTTCGTTCTGTCTTCTTAACACGGAAAAACGTGTATTAGACCAAACAATTACAGGCCCTTTTTTCATTTTTACCTGCAAAACTCTAGGAAGATTTTACTGTCAAAATTTTGCTGCGCTCTCTAGATCAAATGTTGGTCAAAGATCGATGGTTGTTAGTACAGCTATTATAGGAATATGATCTAACTTTTATGGTAAGAAGCATAATTTTTTCCGTTTATTGAAACCATCTATAGATAGCAACTTTTATACGATATGGATTGCACGTTTCCTTTTGTTCTCTTACAACATCTAGCGGGCCAGGAGGCCTGTATATATATGGCTGCTTCAATTTCCTTATATATCCGACTAAAAATATCTAACTTTCCAGCAATCAACCACGGCTATCAAGCTTACGATCTTTGTCTTCTTCCTCTTGCTGCTCCACAAAATCAACTCAGAATCAATATCCCGCAACTTCGATTTCAAGGATGACGTATCACCCTCCATAATCTTACTGGGCGATGCCGCTCCATGCGTTAGACAAATCCTTCTCACCAAAACAGATATTACACCAGGCGCAAATAACCTCACAATGCGCCACAGTATTGGTCGAGCTGTGTGCTCAACACCGATCCATCTCTGGGACAGCGACGCCGGAAATGCTGCAGATTTCACAACTGAATTCTCCTTCGCTGTGACTTCCCACGGTCCTCGCCTTCGCGGAGACGGCCGGCTTGGCCCTCTTCATGGCGCCAATATCTGCCGCCATTACCATCCCCGCGAACTCAACAGGCGGCTTTCTTGGATTATTCAGTCCTGACACAGCCTTCAATTCCTCAGAGAACCACATTTTAGCCGTAGAATTAGACAGCTTCGGCAAAGACTGGGACCCTCCATTTCCTCACGTAGGAATTGATGTCAACTCTCTTAGGTCTGTGAATACTACTCAGTGGCCTATCGATCTCGTGCCACCAGGGTCAAGAGGGAATGCTCGTATTTCATATGAATCTAAGACCAAGACACTGAGTGTGTCGATTGGTTATCCTGATGCTAAACCTGCAATGTTTGTGTCACTGTCGCAAATCGTTGACTTGAAGGGTGTTTTGCCGGAATATGTTAGAATTGGGTTCTCTGCGGCCACTGGGGATTTGGTTGAGACCCATAACCTTTTTTCTTGGTCCTTCCGTTCGTTTCTTGAAGAAGATAACAGCTCATGATGAAGCAGGCCATCAAGTATGAGAATGTTCTGAGTCTTTAATAGTATTTTTGTGTTTCCCTTAATAAAAGCGAGTCTCTAAGTTTAGTGTTTTGCTTTACGAGGTTGAACGACTCCGGTTTCTGTACTTTCATTATATTAATTAATAAGTAAATTATGGTTTTTGTCACATGAAAATACCTCAAGTCATTAGGAGTTAATTTAGCAGCTATTGTAATGGCCAATAACAAACTTGCAAAGAGACACAAGGACTCTTATCAAGAAACATATCTCCGCGTTATAAGTACGTGTGTGTGTAATCATTATATGTATATCATCAATAAATTAACTCATCTAAGAAGGGGATTAAAATAAACCGCATGCAATGGAAATACTATATCATCAATAAATTAACTCATCCCTAATATATAGTTAGGAGTTAGATTTGATCCTAAATATCCATTCTTTTATAACTATATGAATTAGATTGGATCATTGTGATATGGCTATTTACCAGATCAAATTTGAGTATTGTCTGGTTTAATTGGGGCTAACTCTTTCAAAGATATTTTCTACATCCACATGGACTTAAACTCAAAAATGCGTTTTAGTAGCCAAAGCTTCCTTCATTAGGACCAATGCTTATGGTTAAATCTCAATCCATTTTATGTTTCATATTTATCAATATTATTTTTTTAAAAAATAATTTCCCTAACTAATAAATTGATATATAATCTAATGTTATATATGAGTATACAATGTCATGTAAAATGCATTAGTCATAAAGTGATAATCAACGGATTTATTTTATTTTATTTTCTTAATATATTTAAATTAGTTAAATAGCTTTTATATTTACTATGAAAGGAACTAATAGCTTTCTTCTTCTTTTTCTTTTTCGTAACACCAAAAATGTATTTTAGACCAGAAGGTAACACTGATGAACGTAGATGTATGCAATCATTTAAGAAGGGGATTAAAACAAACCACATGCAATACCAATAACAGGTTTGGCTTCTGTCAAAGGGTTGGTTGGTGACTTAATTTCATCCTAAATATAATATTTCAATTCATTTTATCTCTCATATTTATTATTTTTTAACCTAATTTACCTAATTTATAAATGAATACATAGCGTGATGGTGTATAAGAGTATTTTTAGGAAAATCATGTTATGTTTGTTATATAATCAACTAATTTATTTGACTTTTTAATATATTCAAATTAGTAAAATAACTCATATTAAGGAGCGGACGGGCTAATATCTTTCCTCTTCTTCCTAACACAGAAAAACGTATCTTAGACCAAAAGGTAATGCATAAGATAAAAAGTTAGCACAAACAATTATAGGACCCTTTTTCCCTTTTTATCTTAAAGCCTCTAAGAAATCCCATTCAACTATCAAAAGTTTAATTGACAGGACAGGAAGGATACCTGTTTGTGTGCTTGTCATTGTGTAGTATATTCTATATGGATTCGTATACTTTTTTGATGTATATACATGATGCTTTATACAAGGGAATGTTCTATTTTGGAGTCATTGTTGAAACAAATTAAAGCATATCCAGATGGTACAGTAAGCTACGGCTTTTGCTGCGCTCTCCAAATAAAATTTTGGTCAAAGATCGATATGATTTAACTTTTATGATAAGAAGCATAGGTTCTTCCGTTTATTGAAACCATCTACAGATAGCAACTTTTGTACAATGTGGATTGTTTGTTTCCTTTTGTCTTCTTACAGCACCTAGCGGGCCAGAAGGCCTATATATATGGCTGCTTCAATTTCCTTGTATATCCAACTACAAATATCTAACTGTTCCAGTAATCAACCATGGCTATCAAGCTTACCATCTTCGTCTTCTTCCTCTTGCTGCTCCACAAAATCAACTCAGAATCAGTATCCTTCGGCTTCGATTTCAAGGATGGTGTTCCACCCTCCATGATCTTACTGGGCGATGCCATTCCATACGCTAGAGTCATCCTTCTAAATAGAAGAGATGAAAAACCAGGGACGAATCACTATGTTGGACGAGCTGTGTACTCAGCACCGATCCGCCTCTGGGATAGTGACTCCGGTGAAGTTGCAGACTTCACCACCGAATTCTCCTTCTCCGTATCTACCGGCAGTTCTGACCTTCGTGGCGACGGCTTGACCTTCTTCATGGCACCGGTAACTGACGCTGTTCGTGTCCCTGAAACTTCAACAGGCGGCTTATTCGGACTATTCAGTCCTGAGACGGCCTTCAATTCCTCACAGAATGGCATATTGGCCGTAGAACTAGACACCTTCAGCAACGATTGGGACCCTCAATTTCCTCACGTAGGTCAGTGAATATTACTAGCTGGCCAATTCATGACACAGCACTAGGTTCAGTATGGAATGTTCGTATTTCGTATGAATCTAAGGCCAAAACACTGAGTGTGTCGATGGGTTACCCTGGTGCTAAACCTCCAACGTTGGTGTCACTGTCGCAAGTTATTGGGTTGAAGGATGTTTTGCCGGAATATGTTAGAATTGGGTTCTCTGCAGCCACTGATGCTTTGATTGAGACCCATAACCTTTTTGCTTGGTCATTCCGTTCGTTTCTTGCAGAAGAAAGCAGTTCATAATGAAGCCGACCATCAAGTCTGAAGTTGCTCCGAGTCTCTATTTGTTTTTGTTCCCTTAATAAAAGCGAGTCTCTAAGTTTGGTGCCTTGATCACCAGCTTAATCCTCCGTTTGATATACTTTGTTTATTTTGGTTAATTAAAATAAATTATGTTTTTGTTACATGAAACTACCTCGATCGAGTCATTATTAAGAGTCAGCAGCTATTGTAGGAGGCACAATAACAAACTTGGTAAGAGGCACAAGGACGCTTATCGAGAAACAACTCACAAATGATACTACGTGATTGATAAAAATGTAAAAATTAGAAGTTAGATAATTAACTTATAAATATTAAAAAAATTAATTATTTATAAAAAATAAATATTACTTCCTTCTTTAAAGTATTCATTTTAATTATTTACAAAGAAATTACTCCCTTAACAAAGATTTAATATATGCAAATAAGAGGGAGAGTTGAGGAAAAAATATTATAAATTTAGGAGATTAAATGTATTAAGTTCTTATACTTAAAATCCAAGTAAACCCAAATAATAAATTAAATTTTATATTTACAATCAGGGTGATGAGTACTATGTATCATATATTATATATCGAGGAAGAGATTAATTATTTATTCCCTCAAGAAGTAAGTGTTAAATTCTATTATTGTAAATAAGTAAATCACCGAGAGAGCTTCCTTCATTTGAAATTCAAGGGAAGCGAAATTTTAACTAGCAGCTGATTCTGTCAAGAATCTCTTGATTCAATAGCACTTCACATCTCCTCTCATAAAAGAGGTTGTGGGTTTCATACCCACAAAGACCGGAGTGGGTGTGCGTGTGAAGTGTTAGTGTGTGTCAAGGGAGTTTAAATTGTTTAATTCAAAAAAAAAAATCGCTGGTTAAAAGAACAAAAGAAAATAAGTTTCAATTATTCGTGTTACCTACGTGGTTCTAAAAACAGAAAGTTGTTATCCAAAGTAGGACTCGCGATTTAGTATGCTCCTCAGCCCATTATAGATCCATAGGCTGCTAGGCCTAACTGTGTGTGTGTTTTTTTTTTTTGGGGTACAAAGAGAGGGCTAATGCCCAAAATTAAAAGGTCTAACTAGGGGAATAGGTTCCCAAACGGTCACGATCAACAAGAAGTCCAAACGATCAGGACACAAATCAAACACAGGGGATTCAGCAGTTCCTCTCTCTGCAAGAATATCAGCAACATCATTGCAGGATCTGGAAATAAATTGCAACTTGACATCTCAGGGGCGCTGCGGCATCTTTTGTATTTCGAAGATAAGGAGACTGGACTTAGAAGATTGTATATTGGAATTTAACATATCAATCACTAATTTAGCATCTGATTGAACAATCAGTTTCCTAAATCCGTGCTCCCAAGCCAAGGTCAAGCCTTTAAAAATTATCCACTGTTCAGCTTCCATCACAGAGCGAAGACCAACATGATAGCAAAATCCAGCAATCCATTCACCTTTAAAATTCCGCAAACAACCCCCACATCCAGCCTCATTTGTCACATTAGACTTGGCTCCATCCACATTTAAGAGGATCCAATCAACTGGAGGGGGTTGCCACATGGTCCATGCAGTACTAATATGATCGAGGCTGTTATATATCGTTAGAAACTCTCTTGCTCTTTAGAACATAATTCTTCCAAGTGTGTAAAATGACATTCGCTGGATTTGAAGGTTTTTCAAGATTATTTTCAAATATAAATCTATTCCTCCATAGCCAAAGTCTCCAAACAGAAACTCCCCAAACTAAATTCTAATCGCCATTAATGTTGAGACCCAATTCATGCTTCAGATTCAGATTAATCGAATCCCATATGTTAGTGCTGAAGAATTGTTCCTTCACATTTGAAGATATGAGGCTTGACCATAGCTTTTTAGCATAGCTGCAGTCCCTCAAGACATGCATGATGTCTTCATTAGCAGAGTTCTAATTACTGCAAAGAGGGGATGTATTAGACCACACACTTCTTCAAGAATTAGTAGGCAATCTCTCATGCACTAGACGCCATAGAAAACTCTAATCCTCTCAGCACCACGCCATTTCCTGGAAGAAAATAGAGTCTTATATAACTGGGGAGGATTTTCTTCTAACAAATATTAAGCACTTTTTAAAGTGAAATTCCCATCAGAACTAGCATTCCATACCATAATATCTGCACCAACAATGTCCATTGGTGGTATAACACCAATAAGAGTCTGAAGGACTTCTTTATCAACAATTCCATCCAGTTTTTGAAGGTTCCAGGATCCATGCTGCACCCAGTCTACTACTACACTATCCTCTTCCGCGCCAAATAGAGGTCTTAGACAAGAGTCTTTAATGCTTTTGTCTTTGAACAACCAGTAATCATCGAAAAAACTCACAAATCTTCCATTCCAGATTTGCTAACTATTACCCTTGTC